TTTTTTTTTTTTTTTTTTTTTAATTCTGTTTTATTCCTGACAAATTCGTGGCTGTGCTTTATTGTGGACATTCCTAAACCTGTTCACTTCTTCTATTAGGCTGGAAAAGGATGGACTCGAGCAGGTTCCTTCTGCTGCTCAAGGGTTGTGGAGCTTCTGTGGCCTTCCATGGACCTCTGCATTCCATTTGCTGCAGGGATTACTGTGAGACCTAGAACACCCACGTACTTATGGACTTGAAATTAAACAACATCAGTAGTTTCTGAAAATCCCTTTTAAACTCGGGATCAAATATGCTTCAGTGTTCGGGATTAAATATTGCTGGGTTTGCTGAGTTACAGAAGCAAATGTGTGTTTTTGCTCTTAGGGAAGTCTATGGTTACCACTTGAGCACTGGCTATAATCATGTTTGCTGAAAGATGATGAAAAGTAACCTCATCTAAGATTGGTTTATTATAAAGTGTATGTTGCAAGGCCCCTTAGCAACAAGATAAAAACCAGGCTTTCCGAAGTGTGGGCCATTGCCTAGATTAGATTTTTATTCTATAGTTTTGAAAGAAAACAAACCTGTTGAAAATATACAGGACAAATACCAAATGACAGCATTGTCCACCAGATGTCCCTGTCCTCACAGGTGGTAATGAACAATATTCATTCAACGATCTAATTGCTTTTATTAAAAGCAATTTACACACACTGTGTGTATTTCCCAAATCTTTGTTACCCACTGAGTAATAGGTTCATGGATAAATGGCGGCTGCGTTACCAGTATTTGAGAGCTGTAGATGAAAAACAGGACAGTATTTCATGGTTACATTTCTACATGTCATCTCAATTTTGGGTACACTTTCTTTCTTCATAACCAGTTAATCTTTACCACATCTTGCTTAGTACACATGACAAATATTAATCTTTTATACTTGAAATTTATAAAAATGTCTGTATGTGAATATAATAATTCATATAAATGTTACCAATCCAGGCATTTCCATCAACCTACGTATCTATAAAGATCAACCTACCTATCTACTAGACTCTACTAGCAGTGCTGGCAAGTTTAAGGATTGTGGCTTTTGGGGAGCGCTGCCCAGCCCGGCCCTTCCCAGCCGCCCACAGCATCTGCCCTCGCCTCTTGCCCCCATTGTCAAACCTCCCCTTGGGGCCAAGGTCCTCGTGCAAGGAACCCAAGAGCATGAAGTAACGACAGATTTACAGAGCCAGGTGTGGTGTTGCTGCTGAATTACGCACACGTGGGAATCGCATAGCTCTGGGAAGAGTAGCCCTGTTTTATGAAACTGTGCAAGTGCTCTGTGTGGATTTGCACAAATGCATCCTCTGGTTCTGATCAGTCTAAGCCCAAAATGTGCATAGAGTTGCAACGTTCAGAATTCTGATTGGGACCCTCCAAACTCAACTATATAATAATATAAGAATAAAAAACTATATAATAATATAATAAAATTGTAGCTCCATTATTAAAATAAAATGTCCTAATCAGCTAATCTGTTACCTTTTAATCATAGTGGCAAAGTTTTACAAGATGTATTGCCTCGAAGATTTCTGCTTGATGTGTATGAATTTATGGGCATTTCTGTCACCTTCTGCCTTTTTAAAAACTAAATGGTAGCTAAAAATTCCTACTAGAAGTAAATAGTCGCATTAATAACGTCCTCTGATAAGGAAAGAGCAAACTGTACTGTTTTTGTCATTTTTTCAATGTGTGTGTGACTGAATATTTTAGAATATGTAAGGAATTTTCCTGTCTGGCAAGCAGTGAAGTTTTCATAATGCATATATTAATTCATCAGTAGGAGTTTTGTCTTAATAGGATGACTGGTTTCTGGTGTGTGAGCACTGTAAACTTGATTAAGTAAAGGGAAATCAGTGGGAGTCAAAGGGAGCAGGAAGGGAATAGGAAAGAACAAATTCCTTAACTAATTTATGGAAATTAAGCTACTGAGATAAACAGACATCCTTATCTTACTGGGTGTGCTAAGCTTTTACCCTTCTGAAATTGAGATACCAACACTTGATGTTCACTGATTGAAAATACAGGAATTTATATATGTGTTTTTGTATATATTTCTTAATGACATATTGCACGGCAAGTGTGTTCTTTTGACTTTTTTGTGACAGAATTATCTCTGTCTCCATAAGACTTGTGGATTGTCTCTCAATAACAGCTATCAAACAAATTAATAAAAAAATGTTTATTACAATAGTCCAGTAAAGAAGGTATGAAAACTTACTTCAAGTTTTAGTAATAGAAAATGTTAGCCATTTTTTGGGTTATTGGGGATTGCTCAAATCTGTAGTTGATGCAGAAGTAATTTATTTTTATTTTTTTTTCTCCTATACTAAATGTGTGTATATATTTATAAAATGCTTTCCATTTATGATATAAAGAAGCTCTTGGGAAGAAGTTTTAGTAGAAGGAAAAAAAGAAAGTATTATGTGCATTTTAGCCAGAGTAGACTGAATTTGTTTCAATCCAGTGAGATAACTATATATTTAGTAATGTTATTTTATTTGCAGTTTCCTGGATTATCTCTAGCTGTGTAATCTCATGAAATGCCAGATTTCTTAAATTCGTTGCATATGATGGGGAAAGATGTTGACTGAAAACAGGATAGAGACAGCACATTTTCATGCACAACTTCCTTAGTTTGAAAGTAGGAATGTATACGCACAGCTGTATAGCCAGTAATGCAGTCTGATTATGTAAGTATTTCTAATTTCTAAATAGTTTTATGCTTAAGCCTAGAAGGAATAGTGTAAAATATGTAAATGTATAAGAACCAACTTGGGATTTATCTCTGTTTTAGCAGTATATTGCTAATACTGCAATAACTGTATTTTGGCCAGTTCTACAATATAAAGCTTAGAAAGGAGGCAGATATCTGAAGGAGATGTTTAGAAATTACTTTCTGTAATTACCTGAAAATGCCCATTATATCTTGTGCTTTTCATGAACTACATTTCAGTTCAGACCAGTGTAGTTTCGAAGTTCTTTCAACAGGAAGTTCTGAATCCATGTGAGGAAGAACTTCTTCACTGCCAGGGTGACAGAGCCCTGGAACAGGCTGTCCAGGAAATTGTAGAGTCTCCTTCTCTGAAGATCTTCCAAACTCACCTGGATGCCGCCCTGTGCCCCGTGCTCTGGGTGTCCCTGCTGGAGCAGGGGGTGATCTCTAGAGGCCCCTTCCAACCTCAACCATTCTGGGATTCTGTGATTCTGTGATATGTGATGTTGATGCACATTGCACACTGCACATTTTTGTTCTAAGCATTTGTTGGGGTTGTATCTGCAGTGCCAGAAGAGCTTTCCGTGAGCTGGAGCACTTGTGGTGGGCATATCAGTGGTGAGCACGATGCTGAGCCCTGAGGGCCGCCAGCCCCGAACGCAGCTATCCCTCACCCCACCTTGCCCTCTCTTGAAATAAGGCTAACAGCACTCATGATATCCTTTTCTGAGGACAAACTTAACACCCGATCCTCAGTGAACTAATCTGTTTACATGTAGCTTAACTCCATCAGTGACAAACAGTATTAAGTCTGTTAAATAATGTGCTGGTCTTTTAGACCCCTTGTGCACTGGTTTGAAGGGTGCTTACCCTGTGCAAAGGCAGAGCTCCTAACTTGACATATTAGTTGCTTCTGAACATGATGTTTGGACAGCACTCCAGAAAAGATGTAATATATTCACAGTACAAGATCCAGGAAAAAAAACTTCTCTGAGGTAGAGTAGCTGAATTGAACAAAATGTTCCTGATTCTTTAACTGCCTCTCCCTTTTATTTTTTTAATGATTTGACATATCATTTAATAACATCTATGAAATAAGAGTGTATCTATCTGTCTCATCTTGTAGCACTCATTCAAGCTGAACTCCCACATGCTTCAATCTCAACCTCTCCCTTTTGGCCGAGCTCTCCTCTGAGAGAGGATAGAGGTGAAAAACCCGTGGCAGAAGCGATATCGAAAAGGTGACACAGGGGAGAGCACTAGGTCATGTGCACAACCACAGGCGATTCGGGAAGCAACTTGGGCTCTATTTTGAGGTAGAAGGTACAGAGGAGTAGGCGCTTCATACTCAAGAGTCAGAGCTCTGCCAAACAGCTGCCTTCTCTATAGCAGGGTAGCTTCTTAACACCCACCTCTTCTGAATACAACCTTAAAGCCTGCAAGGTGTACTCATGTTCAAGAACCTTCCATGCTTTCTTACATTTTAGCCAAGTTTAGCCATCCTTTCAAACCAAAAGCAGTTGTGTCCATCATAGCACCAACAGCTGTAGCCATGGTTAACTCTCAAATGTCAGGAAGCTATTTGGGAATCTCTGCACTGAGCATAAAAGGATTATGGCTCAGCAGATGTCTGAGGACATTCAATGCACTGGAAGGGACCATGTGGCCCTAAAACCTCTTTTCTAGCTCTTCTGCATGTGTGATTGGTGCTACTGACTGTTCTTTGAGATACGAAACCATAGGCAATTTCCAAAAAATGTCTCTGTTTAGGAAGGATATCAAAGTTGTTGCATGATGTTTATATTTATATATTATATATATATAATGAATAGTACATGTTTGTTAATAATCACGATTTAAGGGGAAATGCTTTAGGAACTTCAGCATAATGGACAAGTAATATGCGCTGGGAGAGCAGCAACTTTATTGTTCATAAATTAGAGTTTGGTACTTTTTGTATGTGTTTGTTATTATATTCTAAGGAATAACTGTTAATTGTTAATAAGTAAAGTAATAAAATACCAAAATACGAGTATTACTAAATATTCAATATATTAAAAAACAGAGAGCAGAATCCGGAACTTGCTTCCTTCTGTGCCTGACGCAGTCACTAAGCTAGAGTCACAGTCACATTTGTGCTTTATTTCTTCCTTCCAGGGTCTGCACTTCTTCTCTGTACAGTTGGGTGGCTTTGCAGGAATAGGTGGGGAATGCCCAAAGTAACAGAAAAAAAACTCAGACCTATTAGAGCATATTTTTGCAAAATATGGATCCAAGTCTCTTTGTAAAAGTGAGAGCATTGGGCCTGTATTATCAATATTTTGGGTGGCAACTCTGATTCATAAATTAGTAGGGTGAAGGAGCATACAGTTGCTACCATGTTCTATTGGGTGTAGGAATGGG